AAAAATTCAATTTATTCTATAAAATTAAGAAAAGCTACACAAAATTCAGTGATATAGTAAATGTTAGCGTGCCATTTACAGAATAGGCATTCTTAGGAAAAATTAAGATCAGAAAAATTATTAATATGTAATTCAAGCCTAATGAAATAAAGGCCTCAAGGGTTGGAAAACAAGGAAAGGACTGAATGCCAGTAATCAATTAAATTAATATGCGAATAAGGCACTAAAATCCATTCCAAATGAAGGCATGCAAAAATGTGATTCCAAGATCGGATGGAAAAGTTTAGTATGCATTGTGAATGAAGCAAAGCCAGCAAGGATAATTTTGAGCTCAAGCAATTCATGAATTACATTACTTCAGCGGGCCCAAAAATTCATGACAAAAATATTTATTTGCGTGATTAATTTCGTTTGCCGTGAAAGGGTTTCTTACGGGAATAAAACGATTTTCCAGGCGTCATTTATCAAATAAAAATAAAAATAAATCCCAAGACTAGAGTTATGGCTCTAAATTATGAACAGGCATTGATTACATAACAAATAAATGAAATAACCTTGATGGGTCTATTGGCCCAACAGCACCAAGCCACTTTGCATAAAGCAGGCGCATGGCATCATCGGAGTCGCGCGTGACACCCGAAAGAAGACCTGCAACAAGGGATGCGAGAAGGTTGCTAGGTGAAGCTGCCAATTGTCTCTGTGATTTGTGCTCTTGTTTATTCTTGCTTGACAAATGAGAGGATCCTATGCTTGGAACATGGCTAGATGTGAGGCTGAACCTAGGAGCGTTGGCCGATACACTAGAGCTCGAATCACCGGGCTGCTGGGATGTGAGCAGATGGACCGCTAGAAGGAGTGGGAAAACTGGGCCTGCTGAACAAGATTGTTTCCTCATGGGATTAACAGGCGAGGAACCAATTTTTTTAGCAGCCTCAGGTGTTTCTGCACAGCTAAAGGGATTATCTGTGGTGGGTAAATTCTGTGGGTTAGCAAGACCGGCTGTCAAAGAAAGGCGGCGCACTGACCTGCTGGCGTGGAAAAGGCCTAAGAGACAAACCAATAAGAGGCTAGAAAGAGTAACACGTGTATTACTCCTCCCGAAATAGGTTGAAGTAGAGGTGCCGGTGGATTCTAAAGCAGTAACCGAGGATCGCCCTAGAGTGACGAAAGCATTATTTCCAAGACATGTAGACTTCTTTCGCCTGGAGTAGTTAATAGTAAAATAAAATAAAAATCTACAGTCGTCAAAAAATATATCAAGTTTAGCAAAATGTATATACCATAAATTTGCGATTTAAAGAATACAGTAATTTAAAATGTTTCTAATATTCAGAAAATGCCAAGAAATATTTCCCGCATAAATGTGTGTATTTTTGTGATTAATCATATGTCCAAAAATAATAAAAAAACAAATTAGAAGGTCGATTTGGTCGAGGTGACAGAGAGACCTTGTGAAATGTACTGAGTCCTATCTTTTCAGCTGCAAGTCAATAATTTATCGCATCTGAACTTTGATTAAGTAATCCCAGACCTTTCGCGGACATTTTTAGTTAAAGGAGCTATCCTTAGCGTAGAGCTAAAAAGCGTCTGTGACATGTAAAGGCAATCCTGTCGATTAAGTGTCTGTTCGACGATTGTGGTATCTCTCTTCCCTCCTTTTGTCCCATTCTCCTAGTGTTGAATCTTCATCCCTATACCCCTCGCTATATGGCCATATTTCCTATCTAGACGTCTAGGTAGCTTGGTTTGTACCAATATTTTTAAAGTTTGTTGCCCTTCCAGTGGGTTAAGTAAGGTGTCATCGTCCTCACTACTAGCTACGTAACTTGTTAGCAGGGCCTATTGATGCCAAATCGTTTATATTTCAGCTAGCCACAACTCCAAAACTTTTCTAAGTTGTAGCTTCGTGTTCTATACTGTCCTATACTATCTGCACTTTTTAACCCCCAACTCAATATTCATTATATTCAAGGATTTGTTCGCATGGCAAGGCCAAAATGCATGATGGAATGTGCCTCATCAAATAGGGCTTTTTAAAAAATTTGTCAAGGCTCCAACTGACCTTGGCTTTTGAACTCTTATCAACTAAGTACCAAACTTTGATGACTGCCCTGTCCAGCAAATTACCTGGGCCCCTAGTTGAGACCTCCTTTCGACCTGTTAGTGCAGAGGTATAATGTTTCATTCATCAATTTTGTTTCAAATATAACACAATCCTTGCTCGTTCATATTATCAACCACTTTAGCTTTTCAGTCTAACCTAATCCTGAAGTTCCAGTTTACAAAGTTCCTCGCTATCAAGTGGATTAGTTGATGTCAAACATAATGTTATGGGCCACATCTATCAATTAATCCGCATGCAGAAATACTCAAATTGACACGATGTAAATTTAGATCCGTAAATTCGCATCCCTAAAAGTGGCTTATTAAGCAACACATAATGCATTTCGAAGCTTTTCATCAAATTATACCCGAATTTCCAATAATTATGTTTAATTAGATATTAAACAAAAAAGCATTTTACAAAAATATGTCAAATGGAACAACGGAAATCATGTCATGGTGCTTCCTTATCTCAGGCATAAAATAAAATCATCTGTACTTTCTGAGAACACAGCATTGGTTTTCAGTTACACAACAACCGTCCCCATTAATCGAATAAAATATAAATTGTTGGGCCTAATAACTATTAGCTATGCATGCCTTCTAAACTCTTGTAGACGGACTACATACGACCTTTAATTTTGATATCTAACAAATGCGCTTTTGATTTAATTATTTTATATCCATTCGATAAACAATTAAAAATAGGTTCCTAACTAGGGTTAATTATCAGCTCGCATACCGTAAATAGTTTGCAGTAATGAAATAGATAATTTTACGAAGCAATAGATTATAAAATTATTCAATGCTGTAGAGCCCTGCATCATGGCTTGAAATAAAAAATAATAATCAAATAAAAGTGCAAGCTTTAGATGGTTTAGTGATAAAAGTAGATTATGTGGAGTTTCGTAAAATGAGAACACTATTCGCGTGCAGTCTCAATCAATAAAAGAACATAAGATATTGGAACAACAATATAAAGGACTAATGATATAATATAATATAAATAAAATAGGAATAATAGACATATATACCAAAATTGAAAAAGAAGAGTTAATATTTAAATGAGAAGTAACCCATACCATGGACAAATTTCGTCGAGAATTACGTGAAAGGGATAAAGCTTCGGTGATGGCGGTAAAAAAAATAGACAACTAAGTCGATCCCCAAGTTGTTGCCTAAAAGAGAAGTATG